AAAGAATGAAACTTCTCCCAGGAAAGACTAAGTATATTGCTGCATTTTGATGGTTTCAAGTTGATCTCCGTAAATAAGAATTAAAGCGTAATTTCTACCTGGTAAACTTTACATTTTGCGTCTTATCGTTGCTTTTAAATTAATTGGCATGCAAATTTCCTATATGTAAAATAAATGTTGTTTTTTTAGTTGAATTATTTACAAATCCTGAACCCTGCAGTCCTTATGGTAAGAAAAAGAGGGGGATGTAAAACCTTTCACAAATGTTTTAGGCAAATCTTTTGGATACAAACCTTTTATCTCTTAAGTTTCCTCTCAGCTTGAATTTGTAAGATTGTCTTGCTCACTCAAGTAGAATATTCTATCAGAGGATTTGACAAACAAATGTCACAAAGAAACTTTCAATTTGTTTCACTAAGTTTTTAGTTTGACAGTTTTTATATAGTTCATTATTTAATTTATTTTTAATACATCAGATCATTATTGTTTTGTAAAATTTTGTTGAGTAAAGCTGTGAAAATGAAAAATAGCTTATTCCCTATATGGGAAATTCGCTAAAATGAAATCAAAAGCTTACATTCAAAGTTAATGTTAATAAACTCTCTAGGTCAAAACTTATTTAATTTTAAACCAGAAAAAAATCCCTGAGTTTTTATTTATTTTCTAATGATTTGACAAATTTTCTGGTTAAGAAAAACAAATAGGTAAATGGCTTTATTTCTTAAATTTGGTAAAATGTGGTACTGTATGCAAATTGTACAGTACCAAAAGTTTGAAGTACTTTAAGTCTTATTGTAAGAAAGAAAATATTTGTGCTCTTAAGTTTTATCACACAAATTATTTTTTCCTTATTTTAATAGCTTTTAATAAATCACTAATAAAGCACCCAGACATTAAAGTTCTATTGATTTTTCTGAACATTTTTCATGTTATCACATTCAAAAATAATAATTCACTTAGCTAGAAATTGTATGTGTATGTTTGGATTAAATTCAGTATAAAGACTGATGTATTTTTATAAAATTTACCAACACTCACAAAGCATTTAACAGTATTTGTGATGTTAAGAATTTATGACCAACACAGATTTTGGTGATGATATGCAAATATTGTAATGAGATAAAAATGTGTCTTGGTACATTTTGATATTATTCTAAACGAATTAAAATTAGTTGTATAAACATGTGCATGTAAAATAGTCAACTATGACAGCTATAAAGCTATTATAGTAAAAATGACATGTACTTTATGAAATACTAACGGTTGCTTATCAAATTTGATGTCCACCGTTAAATAATCGATAAACCATTTGTTAGAACCTCAACATTATAATGTTTTGTTTTTAAAAACATCATATTGTCTCTAGACAGACGGAAAAATATTTGATATAACATTACCAGAAAAGTATTGACATATTCCCATAAGATTTTAATATTATTTAGCTAACCAAAAAAACTTTACGAGAAAAAATGGAAGGTACAGTGGCGTAACAGTATTTCCCCGGGCCCCCCCGCAAAAATGTCTGTGGGCCCCCTACTACCCCTCCCATTCCCCACCACAGCACTATAAACCACAACCGTCACCACACCACAACTATCACATGACGTAGGTGACGTCAGGCATACGGCCTACACGATCAGACTGGCAGAGGATGGTCTCTAGCAATATCAAGTATTTACCTATTCTTCAACCACACGACCAGAGTCGTCCTTGAAACATATTTTATATTTTGTCACTGTCACAGTGATAATAAACTTGGGAGTTATGTCCGTGATTAATATATATGGGCTACTCCATTACTCCACCATTCACATTCATTACTAAACTCAACTAAGCTTCCAACTATAATTTGAGTCGGGACCACGAAAGTTTGCAGTTGAGGGAGTAGCCTATTTACCATTTGACTTCAAATGAGCCAATGAGGGCAGTGCGGTGTTGCCAAATCGAATAATACCAGCTGTTTTAAAAATATTGTTTAGTATTTTAATTAGTGTCGTCAAAGGGTGATATGGCAACGTCGCACTAGTCTTGTGATTGGCTGCCGCCAACTGCAAACTTTCGTGGTCCCAACTGTAAAATGTTAGTGCTTCACTAAATTAGCCCAATTTAATGACATGACACCTGATTGAGAAACTCTCGCGACATGCACTACTGACGAGTCACTCGCAATCCGCATGGAATGGATCTCCAAAATCTGGTGATCTACGGTCAGCTGAGTACACGTGAGCGGTTAGTGGGGGAGGGGGGAGGCGGAGGGGCTGGCTCCGAGTGTGTGTCGCCCTAGGAGGATTAAACATTAAGGAGAGGGCACGCGAATAGGAATACACGTGTTGCGGTGAAGCCAGCTTTAGCAGAACACTAGAGGGGCACGCGGAGCCGTAGAGTGGCAAAAAGCCTGGGCTATAACATGGGAGAGATAGGGAAAAACGCGACGCGCGCTGTTTCGAATTAAAATTGTCGCTAAACTAAAACACCTGTGTTATTCAGCGATGGCATTCTTAAAGTTAATTAAATTTCCTATCGAATGGTGTAAATCATTTCTATGAAAACTATTATTTATTATTTATTATTGAAGATCAAAGTTGAAAGAATTGACCTGGACTTTAAACATATGATTACTATAATTACGTTTTTGAAAAAAATATGATGTATCTACACAAATTAACAATTTATTCGTGTTCCTTAAGAGTTTCTCGAAATAAAAAATATATATTTACCTATATTTAAAAGTGGTATTTAGAAAAATAATTACAATAAAGTTTTATTTTTATTTTTCCAGTTTATAAAACAATCTTACTAGTAATAGGTTAAAATGAAAATTTTAATTCGGGTGGTGAAATACATTTTAAATTTGTATTTTTCATAGTTTTCTCGATTTGTTAATATCATATTTTACTAGTTTTAAGTCATTTATGTGCTAGGCAGGTGATTTTAAATAGCCAAAGTTAAGAAAAAATGCAAAGCCGCTCTAACTTTTTTTACACCAACAGCCGTTACAATTAAATTACAATCATAAAAAGTAAAACAATTTCTTGGCAATCAAATTCTTGATTTTTTAATATCATATTGAACTATATTTGATCTGTTAAGTTTGCCCAAAGAAACTTCGAGTAAAAAGGGTAAATGTTCAACAATCATCGCGTCTTCTGACGCCAAAGTGCGTTTATCATTCTTTTAAAGGATTAAAACATATTTTATTTCTTTTTAAGAAAATGTTCAAATACACATACAGTACTACTCATGATTTGAGTTTTAATTTTTGAACAGTAAAATCCATTGGTGATATGGCGGGATTTGAACCCGGGCCCCATGAACCGGAGTCCCGCGCTCTGGTTAGAGTATTATAAATAATACACAATACAAGTATGGCAAAAAATAAAAACAAGGACAAACGAATTCTAAAATACAAGTCGTCCTTGTGTAAATTACCCACCTTTGAACGTACTATTGGTAAATAAATATGACTTTCCTCTTAATAGGTTCCTAATATTACGGTTAGAATTTAACTTTTTAATTTTCGTAGCATGATGAAGTCTAATTTTTAAATAGTCAATTGATATTTCTGTTACCAAATCTTCTACTGAAATCCAGTAACGCATACAACGCAGTATGAGAGGGGGGCGGGAGAGTAGCGCTGCCTCCCCCCCTCCCCAGTACGCTGGCTTCAACGAAACTACAGCGTGTATCCTCCTAGGTGTCGCCACTGTCGCCACGGCGCGGCGGCAGGCCGGCAGGGGCAGGCAGGCACACAGCTCCTAGCGCTAGCATGAAGCTACACAACCACACTGACAATACACATCGTCGGGTGATCGTAGTGAGCGTTGGCGTTTCGTTAACAATATTGTTAATTAAAAAATAAAACTTTAGTAGATTTGGCAGAATAAAAGTATCTACCAACACATCGTTTTTTATTTATAATAATTTGTCAGAAGAGAAAAACATCCGTGAACAAAGGATCGGTTTTACGGACGGTTTTATGAGAAAAGGGTATCTTAACCTCGCGGGCCCCTAAACCTCGCGGGCCCCCCCGCACCGCGGGGTCTGCGGGGGCGGCTGTTACGCCACTGGGAAGGTAAAAGGTGGAAGAATGTTTGGAGAGATCTTGCCAAATCCCGATCCGCAATCATTTTATGCCTATATTCTACCCAGCGTATAATTAATCAAGAAGTTATCGAAAACTTGTGTTTATTTGCTAAGATACACTTTTAAGCCAACATGATTTATTAAGTGATTTTATGAAATTCGTTTTGTATAATTTGATGGAAGCACGCAAGTATTTAAAGCTTCTGCCAATCTTCTAATGGAAGTCTTGTCTTGAGAATGAAGACGGGGAAGGTATTTATGGACCAATGATTATCAAGTCGAAAAGTAAATACAAGACTAAAAATTCTCTCAAATTTAATAGGTAAAGTAATGAAATATTCAATTTACATTATATGTTTTTTCCTGAATAATTGAAAATAATATCTTAACAACACTAACACTAAAGTGAAAATACACCCGACCAATAGATCAATTTGATAAACTTATTAGTTATTTGTGAACATGTTTAAAAAGTACTGTTATTTAATAGACCCACACAGCCTGGCACATATGATGAAACTGGGTACTATCCTCATTTTCTGTAGATATCTGCAGATATTATTTCATATCTTATACAATTTACATAGTAAGAGCATTGATAAATCTATTCCCCCACTGCAATTCCATATTGTTATACATATACATTTAGGGGCTTGGCTAAAATTAGGGGATTTACTTATTTACTTATATGAATCCCCTAATTTTAGCCAAGCCCCTAAATGTATATGTATAACAATATGGAATTGCAGTGAGGGAGTAGATTTATCAATGCTCTTACTATGTAAATAGTATAAGATGTATTCAAAATTATTTTTCATAATAGACACATTTTACATTCTAAATGTGATTTTGGATTTAGGTACAGAAAGTTGGCAACTCAAGCAAACTTAAAGTATTCACTTTAATATTTACAACAATAATTACAAAATTCTTTACAACATTTGGCGTAAAACTACGTTAAGAACAATAATATTAACAAATAATTCCATTCAACAATACTGATTGACTTAAGATGCAAAATTTTAGAAGTCAACATTTACTATCTGTCACAGTTATAAACATTCAAAGTGACTTTTTAATTCTTAATCAGACAAATTTCCTTCCTAAGAAAATATTACTGAACAACAGAATTTTCAAAAATTATCTTGAACATTTGCAAGATAATCAAAGTTAATCAGATATAAAAAAGTTTGTTGGAAATAAGTAAAATCAATGATACTAATGTATCAAATTAAAACAGCATTTGCGCCTGCACAAATACTGTATGTGGAATTAGCAACAAAATAGAACTACTTATTGCAGTTGAGTATCATATAAAAACATTTGAATTACAATAAAATGTAAGGAAAGTTACAAATGAATTGATAAAAATATTTATAGACCTATAAATTCTAAGTATTGACATAAAGAAAAGTGTTTGCATGGTCACAAAGTTTGATTTTATGCTGACTACAAAAATAAAGTCTATTAAATGGATACCCACTTCTAAATCTCTTTAACTTGTTTTATTACAATTCAAAATAATCTTTAAACTGTAAAGCCAGAGTTCACACGAAGCCAGTAGGCGGGTAGGTTACTTGCCTCAGGTACCTTGAAATACATTATAGCTTTCACTAATCCAGTGGTCAATAGTTATAGGCAAGTAACCTGCCTGCTCTACTGGCCTTATGTAAACGTGGCTAAAGAGATTTTAATATTATTATGCTTTTGAAATCAAACTCTAAAAAAACAGTCTTATCAAGTTTTAGCTAAATTCTTTTATTATAGAAGAGATGAAATTGCACATGCTTAAAGGTAGGTAAAACTTTGAAAATTCTTAATTTTATGTTTTATTTAGGTAAATTGCTTTTGAATGATGTTTAACAAAGAAAAATGTAATAATGTTTTGCATAGTTTTTATGAGGGTAGATTTAATTTTGGTACAGACCAGCTATGACGTCTACTAAGATATAGACGATTTGTTTGTAACTAATATTTTTTACATAGTGCAGGTCCTTAATGAGGAATAAATAAATGTATCTAACTACTTCTTATGACACAAAATAGAAACCTTTCAAAGTTATTCGAAACCTAGTGACTGCAACTTATTTTATAAGATTTAAATAATTTATTTGATTTAAACACAATGTTAAGCCGTAATAAAGCGAAATAATTAAATTAGATTAACAATAAATTCATACATTAACATAAAAAATTATACATTTTACATAAAATATAGTGACAATAAGGGAAATCACAGTCTTTTTGATTTTGTAGAATAAATATTTACAAAGATATTTAAAAATTACACATATTTATACAAAAACACAAAGCCATCAACAAATTATCATAAATAACATACACAATGATTTTAAAGCATTTTAGTAATTGAGCAGATAATTAATAATTTAAACTATAAATAAATTAACTATTATTAAACCTACTAACGTTGCACAGAACATTTAAAACCGAAGAGTTACCATTCATTATCAGGCTATTTAATAAAAAAATAAACGGATGGGGTTTTGGTCCTAATAAAAAAATAATGTCTGCAAATACAAGGATTACCAGTAAATTTAGGTTAACAAGCTACAGTCACACTCAAGGAAGCTCATTTTAATATGACAGAATGAATGTGTTCTTTACTTTCCTGACTGGTATTCTAGTCAGTTCTCGCTAATTAATTGTTGTTGTAGGTGATGAAGATATCAGAGAAAATAGACACTCCTGTAATATATGAAATCAATACAAGATGATTTTCCCTCATATCGTTATAAGCTACTATGCTGCCACTAGTTAGTAATTATCGCATAAGGATGGAAACCAAGTAAGACAGCAGTCAGGGAAGTAAAACACACGATGGTCAAATTTCAAGTTTCCTTAGCCGCGACTGTTTTTTCATTAGACTACTCAAAACCCTAATCTCATAATTTAATCCAGCATTTTTTAAAACTAAAAGCGTACTTCAACATACATTTAAAGCGCTATTAAAAATGTAAAAGAGTAGAAAAGTCGGTAGGAAGATGTGTGATATGTGCGAGTCGCCAGTCAAGGTCACACCCACCCCTTGACCGTGACAGTAACCTCTTCTCATGACGGATGGACTGTCTGCAGTGTCGCCCCTCGACTGAGGTTGCGGCTCTTCTTGTTCCCTCCGAAGGTGAACCACGTTCCCATCCGGCGACCGATGGAATGTGTGGACCCGTGAACTGACGATCCGAGTCCATTGGTCCTCAGCGGCGGAGCCCGGGAGGTATCTGGGACCGTGATGTCACTGTTGCCCCGCTTGTATGTTTTGTCTGGAAATAACCATGTTTGAAATAAATGACAAATTTGATATGTTTTATAAAATTATATTATATTTACCTTTGTAGTTGTTGCCTGAGTTCTTGTAAATAAGATATTTGTGTCCTTCACCCTAGCATTTCGCCACCTGTGAGACATTTTCAGTGGTTTTCAAACACTTTAGTCATATTTACAACAAAACACAATTGTTACTGATAAGATGAGTTCACAAGAAGACCCCTAAAGATGCAGTACAAGGTGACGAAATGCATAGGGTGTCACAAGCATCTTACCTACAAGAACTCAGGCAATCACAACAAAGGTTAATGTAATATAATTCAAAATGTTAAAACTGGCATAAAAAAAAAAGTCATTTGTAAAATTGTTGTAATAAGATAAATTTAAGATGTGCAGACTATTACGAGCATAGTAACGGTGATACAAAACAGTGAAGAGCATTTACTCTTTTATAGAGAAAGTTTGTAAAAGATTTTAATTGATAACAGTTTTGTTTTGAATTAAATGGTCCTTAGAATTGGAAATATTGTAGTTTTCTGGGAAATAACCATGTGCTAGACTTATTGGAGATTATTGGAAAGTTTTAAGAGATGTATGTATTTTCTACAAACATGCATTAAACTTAGAAAATATTGGAGGGTCGGAGAGAAATGTGTTTCCTAAGGAAATAACAACGCACTGCGATTGGAAAGGATTTGTAGGTTTGAGAGATGTGTGTTTTATCTATAAATAAAAATGCATTATAATTGAAAATATTGAGAGGTTTGAAATTATGTATCTTTTGTAAAAATTTTATTTTTAGGATATTTTATTTTATTTGTCTGTATTGTATTGTATTATTGTATTGTAAAAATAACGATGAATTAAATTTACATTTGGAGTATATAAGAGGTTTTAAGTAATAGTTTTCATCATTAAAATCAATTTAAGATAAGGACAGTTTAACGTTTTATGATTCTAAAAAGTATTTGGGATAAAATTCTTTCGATAAAAGTCTCTATTGCAGACTAATATTATGAGCATTAGGGAAATGATGGATTATTGAATAAAAAAAAATACATGGCAGTTGTCTTTGGGACAGTTCCACAACAATACAATATTTGTGTTAGTATGTATAAATAAATAAATTATGCTTTTTTATAGATTTGAAATTATTTTTCCAATTCCTTACTTAGATTGACTTATGAGGATTAAAGAATATATTATTTTCAATAAATATAATTAATAAATACTTTTTTTCCTCAGATCACTTTTATTGAAGTAAATACTTTTTTTAATTTTTGTAAATCATTGTATCCCATTTTCTGTTATATCCTGAGTCAAAACTTAAACTGCATTCTGTTTTTCCAATATCTTAAAATAAACTGAAATATGTACAAAAAGACTTATGCAAGCTATATTTAGCAAATGAGTAGCATTCGCTTGCATCCAATACAATGATTAGTTGAAAAAAAATTTACTCACTTCTGGGTTTGATTGGAGGCCGACGGTAGTGTCTAGCAGCTGACATCCTGGCCAAGTGTCTGGCCGCAGGAGCAAACTCTAGTCCGTCCCGCAGATCCTGTTCCACCAGTCTGCGTTCCTCAGTAAACGCAGACAGCCAGCGAGACTTGTCCTGCGCAGACCTGCAGCAGAACAGCAGCCACTTGCCCGGCGTCACTACCTTGATACAATGTCTGACTGTTACACCCAGCGACGGTTCTGGAACAACGGAAAACACTGAATGAACAACCATTCTACCAACATAATATTAACATTGACTGAATGGTAAATTAATATGTCAAAACGAGCTAAAAGAAACCATAGATGATTGTATAAAGATAAACAAAGAAGAGGGAAAAAGTCATAATTATTTTACAGTTTCTGATAGCAAGATTTGCTTGATTGTATTAGTTTGCTTAGACTATATAGTTAGAACTTCTTTTCTTTTTTTGTGTTTAGTACATATCTAAATCCAGTGACCATTTTATAGAGATAATTTTAATTGCGTTTATGGAAATTTTGTCGGATATGCTTGGATTGAGCCAGTCTCTTTAGGACCGATGTCCAAACGCTAAACACTAAGCTAAAACACAATTGTGGAAGCTGCCTAATTAAATCCTATACTCTTATATGAGCAATGTTTGTTTGTATGTATGTATGCTTTAAAAACAGCTTTGACGATTCCCTTCAAATGTTGTAAATAATTTATTTTTGGCCTAAAAATATGATTAAAGCAGTTAAAACTGCCAACAAAAGTCTAATAACGTAAAACAAATAATTGAAAATCAAAATTTTGTTACATCGGCCTTATGGGTTGCAACGTAACAATGTTGGTTGAATAAAAGAATCCCAGAATTCAAAAGTCAGCAATAATTGGAAGGATATTGGAGTTGTGACTAATTTTAAAATTGGCATGATTGTAAAAACCTTTTGCGAAGCAACGTATTATTTGAGGTTAAGGGTGTAACATAGAGCACAAGGGCCTAGGTTTTTAGGCTGTTTTGAGAGGATAGCAGGCTTACCTGAATGGGAAAGAGTCCAAACTGGCACAAGAAACACAAAATAAGTTTTGCTCTAAAACTCGCTCTTCCTTAGTTGATCATGTTGTCATTGACAGTGAAATATTCTAAAGTTTTGTATATATAGTGTGAAGTTATATGTTTCTTGTGTTAGTTAGCTAGTGTTAGTTAGGATTCTTTCTAATATAAGCCTACTATCCTCTCAAAAAATCCTAACAACCTATTATTTTATTATTTGGGCAGGTCGGATTTGCTTTACCTTTCCCATCAGAGAGGTTGATCACTTCACTTGTGTCCAGGAGTATTCTACCTTTGTAGACAAAAGTATTTCTTTTGAGAATGTCCTGAAAATAAAATTACAGTCAGGTATAAAATATAACTGTAAAGATCCCAACCAAATACCAGTTTTTTGTGGAACTGTAGTGTAGCGAACAACTCACTATTAAGACACGCTGTCACCAGATGACTTTGTTTATTTAACGCCACCAGCTAAGCCAGACATTATTGAGCTTAGTACTGATTGCACATGTATGGAATTCAAACTTGTGCATGTAGAATTACCTCAACACTACACTAGTCAGTGTAACACCTCGGCCAACTGAGCTACCATGCCACCATCGGCGCGACGAGTGCCGCTATAGACACACTGGCGCTCGCAGGTGAGATTCAACGAACTAACACCCCAAGCTATGTATCCTAAGACTTATGTTTTAAAGTGTTAAATTACTGGTAAAGTGGAAATATTTGTAAATTATCAATACAGCCATTTGCCCTACTAGAAAAATATCTTTTAATTTCTTATTTAAAGAGGTTAATACGATCGTAAAAGGAACATTGCACCATCAGTAAAGTTGCAGGTCAGGTTTGCAGTTCCTAGTTCAAACTTTTAACCTGTGCTATGAAGGTGCAACAAACTGTACAGTTTTACACTTACCATCTCTGATAAAACGTTCTTTCTGATGATAGCACACAATTTTAAAACAACAAGCTTTTATTGAGCACCCTCTTTACACCAAATACAAAAAAGCCATATCCTCTAACGTTAAACGAAAGGTCTTTTAGGCAACGACATGGCAGTTTTGCTACTAAAATATAAATATAATGAGATAACATACCTTTTTACAATATATCAGCTGATGATCAAACAAAAACAGTACGATATTGTTGGTCCACATTCCTGAAGTAACTCTGATCGCTTCTCCTTGATGAATCAGCTGGGAACTTGACTCTATCAAATCTTCACCCTGGAATATTAAAGGGTCTTGATCACTTGTAGAACTTACATTGCTTGAAAAACTTAAACCCATTGTTGTAAAAGATTGTTGGATTTATTGTAAAAGGTCTAGTGTAATAGATTACAAGTTCCACAAAGAAAGGAAGAATGTGGTTTTCTTATCTTATTATGTTTCAACTGGATTCTCAGTATTCCTATCATGGTTGACTCTTTTAGAGGATGAAGTTAGCTTGTATCATCATTATCGGTTGAAATGGGAACGCCACATCGGTGCGTATTTTAACCCAAATATGAGTGAAGGGTAAATGTAGAATGGTGGTGTAGCTTCAAAACTGGCCAAGATAAGCTGTTTCATTAGCCAGGATCATTTATTTAAAAGCCCATGATCAAGGACAGCTGGAACCAGTTTCAAACCATCAAAAAGCTATACTGACTTTTCTCAGGATTGATCTGGCAACCTTTTGATTGCTAAGCGAACACTTTAATGACTCAGCTACCCAACCAGTATCTCACATTAGAACCACAAATTTACGAGTTCATATAATCTTTTGTTTGGTCCTAAATATATAAAAAATCCATACAATATAGGTATGTGGCATTCGTACAGCCTTGTCCTAAGCCATGTAAACAAACAAGTCACATCAGATTGCCAAGTAAAGATGTTACTACTATATTTTTTTATTGTTTAGTAAATACTACAGTTAACAAATTAGGAATTTAATTAAGGCAATTTTCTGGTCAGAATGCGTTCAAATGTGAAGGAGTTTAGAGTATTGACTGTTGCATAGAAGAGATAAGTTAATACATAAAATCTCATATAAAAACAATAAATTGGGAAATTAGCCTCTTCTGTACCTCCCAACCGTCGACCCTCTGTTGCCAAGCCGCTAGTTTCTCCAGGCTCTCCATCCTGCGTTTGCGCTCGTTGATGAGAACAGCGACTCCTCTCATCGCCTCCAACGCCTCTGTGATCTTGGCATGGTCTAGGTGATCAGTCTGCAACAGTCAACAGTGAAAAAAGATACATTTTGAAATTTTTTCCTAGTTTATTCAAGAACTTAAATTGACCAATGGCCTCTAAAGCTACTAGTTGTCAAAAAATTGTGTTTAGACATGCCACTGTAGTTCCAATATCAGATAGCATGGAATTGTGATCATTTTCTTTTTCAATTGAATCAAATTTTGATCAATTTGATGATTAAACTAGGAATCTTCGAAGTTTAACTGTCTATCTTAGGCTCACAGTAGAACGTTAACCACCTATTATCCGAATCTTTTTAATGAAAAATTTGACAAAAATACATAAATATTACAGCAGCACAAAACAAAACCATTGAATGAGGTTAAACAATGATACATGTATCATACAACATAAATATGCGGTGAATTTGCATTTAAGTTAAATTGTAAAGAATAACAAAATGAAGCTATTTTTCTTTGAAACATTAATATAACATTTCTTGGGAAACAAATGATTTCCAAAGATGATTTTGATAAACGGTGTTCAATTTAATTAATCAGTTTTATCATTGAAACCCTACGTGAAAGTGCTAACACACACCCCTGAATGAACAGTTTTAGTTTGCAAGCGGATCTGTTTTACGCTACACAAAACCAGACAACTATCATACTAACCCGCTAAAACCATAGTATATGTGACATTAAAACCACAGATACGAATAGTCTTCCTCTACCCAAAATATATCTCTTCCTCACACATTGTCTCACCTTGGTATACTTAAGCAGCTCAGCCAACTGTAGAGGGTATTTGCAAATCCGTTGTACAGGAGTCAGTAAATAACCGTCCAGAGGGATCTCTATGAGACCTCTCATCAGACGACACGCCTCGAAGAACTTGCTGTAGCTGTTGTGTTGGTACAACTCCTGCAGCGTAGCGATGGCCATCGGGTGACTGTTACAGTACTCTGAATACATACGGAATCCGGCTTGCTGAAACACACAATGAGATTAGAGGGAATCTGGTTTGCTGAAACCACATAGTTTGTAAGATTAGAGGGAGAGGATTATAGATTTGTTGAAACAGATAATTTGTGAGATTAGAGGGAATCAGATTTGTTGAAAGCACATAGTTTGTGATATTGGAGGAAATCAGGTTTGTTGAAACACAATGTTTGAGGGATTTAGAGGGAATTACGTTTGTTAAAGCACATAGTTTGTGAGATAAGAAAGGGAATCAGGTTTGTTGAAACACATAGTTCTGATATTAGAAGGAATCAGGTTTGTTGAAAGGAAACACATAGTTTGAGAGATTAGAGGTAATAAGGTTTGTTGAAATATACAGTTTGTGAGATTGTATAGATTCTTGCTGGATGAAATACACTGTTTGTGAAATTGAGTGAATTCTACTTGCTCGAGTATTTTTGTATTTTGGCTAAGATATGTTAAGGACTATAAATTAATAAATGTCAACCAGAACCGTTATAGCTGATTTGTAGGAATCTAATTTTTTCATTATCTTATGGTTTTTTTTATAGGAAAATACACAATAAAAAATAAAACAGTTTGAAAAAAAGATTTCCTTCATATAGCATACTTTGTATAGGAGGGGAGGGTAAAAATCGAGAATAATTAATTTAAAACTCTATCTATATCTACTGTAGTTATAACACCAAAATTAGTAAATGGCAAGAGGATTGAGACAACTAAACCAGTAACTAAATCAGTTGATTGAATTATTCACAGATCCATCTTCAATCGACTGTAACAATAATCAGATAAGCCGGTTTCAACTGGCCCAGGGACCCGATCATGCCAGGTATACATATGTTTGCATTGATAAATTTTTCATAACACTTAATTCACATACTTGCATCTCTATGAACTTTTGAACTGGCAACCTAAAACTCAATTAAATTGCAATAGCATTGTCATACTTTTTGTAAACTACTTTAAGATTTTATGTCTGCAACAAACATTTTAAATAAACATTTGAGTGTTTAGTTGAAAGGTTGAAACCTCACTTACATGTCTGAGGAAGGTATCTCCTACGCAGCTTCTGTGAGGAGCCTCGGAGTCCACATGCCTCTCCAGGTCCTCCAGAAACACTTCTTGGAACTCCAGCAGCTGTTCAAGGTTACCGAATATTGTGTTTATTTGTTCATCAATAAACATATCCGACCTCTTTCTGCACTCTGCTAAGTACCCCTGAAAAGGAAAAAAATGAATACTTTTGCTCATGCTTTAGGAATGTAGACCAAACCACTTTGCCATTATGGGGTACACAAGGGGGTGCCAATCAAAGAGACTACTTTTAGGATGTTTCAATTGGTCAAGTATAGAGCTGTACTAATGTCTATTGCACAGTTAATATAATATTTTGACATTATAGATCTATCGCTGTAACAGTGGGAACATAAAAATAATCAAAGGCTTGTACGTTAAGCAGCTCTGGCCAGAAACATTTTTACACATTATTTTGTGTTTTTTCTATGTCTGCCAAGTGATGATACTAAGCAACTTTAAAAAAAGTTACCATACCATAAAAAAGGCAACCAGTGGTTTATATACCTAGCCAGTGTTATACATAAAGCTTCAATTGAAACAGTTTTTTAATGATACTTTACTTATAATACTTTTCAATGAAATGGCGGCCATACAAAGTAGGTATTTTAAGCCAAGTATGAATGGAGGATATCATCTATCAAATTGTGGAAAATGATAACAAGAAAAACAAATGTTTGGACTGTTTTATTTAAGAAAACATGGAACATTTTAACACCCTTATTGGCCAACATGAGGTAAAATAAAAACAAAATATAAATTTGAAGAAAACTAAAAATGAACTGAAAACTCCTCAATGGCAATTAAGTTACCTCCTTAACGTCGCGCAGCACCTTGACAAAGTCTCGCTCAGTGTTGACTAGCTCTCTCACCACTCTCGACCTGACCTGGTCATTGGACAGCAGAGAGATGCTGGTACGCCGCCTCAGCTGTTTGCTGCCTCCAGACGCTATGGCTGCCAGACAGTCCTCTACTGTGTCCTCCTGGCTCACTCGTAACTGTAAGGGACATAGTGATCATGTTATACTTTACAAGAATAGCAAATCTTAGAAATTATGTCGGCTTGAAGCATTGATAGAACTTTGAGGGGTACAGATTGAAGACCTCGTTTAATCTAAACCATGATCTACTCGGATGAACTGTCACTGTCACTGTGAATCACTATTGTGAGCCTGGTCAAGGAATCAAGTAGCTCTTTTGGGAACGTCTATTATAGTTTTACTTTCAATACAACTCTAAGTTGGATGGGTTTCTATTCAGATTTATAGAAAGACGACTATGCAAGCTTTCAGAATGCTAATGGCTACTATCGGCTGTTGGAACTCTGCCAAAAATGGATTGGTTATGTATGGTATTTTTCTTACTTAGTTAACTTAACACTGATTTAAGCTACGGTACTGTAAAACAATTGTTTTAAGATGAAACAATGGAAAACCAAAAAGTACAGTTGAAAGTAGCAATTTCAAAAGACATAATTAAACCAATATTAAAGAAGTTAAAGCAAGGTATCATTGAATGAATGGGGGCCTAACAAAATACTTGTGAATAAGATGTTGCACACCTCGGAACTTTACCTCAGAACTTTACCTCAGAACTTCATGTACCTGCTGAACTACAGTATACTGCTTAATGCAGGTGTCTGCTCCTCACCATGGTCTAGAGAGCTTTTCTTTACCTCAGCTAGTGATGTAAAACAACAGATGGATTGGCTAACTTTCTGAACACTTAAGGTTTTGTAAATAAATGGAACTCTTAAATAAAATTAGCACTTGAAATAAACACATTGTAAATAATAGAAAGAGGAACCCAAATCATAGTTGAAAGTAATTATACTGTTTAGCTAGTATAAGCAAACAAAGAGTTATTCTCACCCTGACGAATGCAGAAGGGAACCAGCCCGCTAGGTCTCCTCGGGCCCCCCACCACCAGTCTCTGTCCAAGGTGTCCAGCACCTCTATCACATCTCCTGCTCGGAACGCCAACTCCTCCGGCTCCATGGCCACATGGTCCCACACTGCCTCCGCTAGGATCACCACCTCCTCTTCCATGGCCTAAACAACACATTGTCACAAGGTTGTCAACAATTGTCACAAAGTTATGCTGACCGATATACCTTTGTTTTTTTCTCTTAGACAGTAATTTTTTTAATTTTTCCAGGCATGACCCCCAGGAGTGTTTTTTGCAGCACTTCAGGCTAGACCTAGGGGTTGCAGCATTATCACGATAAAAATCCATTGGTTATTTGGCGGGATTTGAACCCGAGACACCTGGGACCGGAGTCCCACGCTCTACCACTCGACCAGCTTGCTCCCCCAGTTAGACAGTTAATAGGACTTACCAGAATTAAAAATTTAATTCAGCTCAAAGCAAAAGTGACAGACTTCAAACATTTTTTTATCTTGTGAGCATTGAGTTACATTTCTAATAGTACACCAGATATGGTGTGTTTCTTTTTTGTCTTTCAAAGAGTACATACAGTAAAACCTTGATAACAAGACTCTCGTGGGTATTTTATAAGAGAGTTATCGAGGTTGTCTTCTTTTGAGGTTTGCAATAACATTTGAGTAGGGGTAAAATAAATTTATGAGAATTTCATATTTCAAAATTACACTTGTTATCAAGGGTCTTGTTATTGAGGTTCTACAGTAATTGAATGAGCTACTTATATAGCGTGCTTCTATTGAATTTCTATCTTCTCTTCAGCTTTTCATACTCTAATAAATTTATGGGGAGGTGAAGATGATGTGGATTACAAAAACTTTTCCTTTCAGTTTAATATAATAAAATCATGAGAGAGAAAATGTTGCATAACTACATATGCTGAGTAAATAGCTACTTTACAAGAACTAACCAATGATTATACGTTGCTACTACATTTTCTAGTACATTTTGTTTGAGTGGGGAGAACATATACAAGTATTACTGTGATGGTTCGTAAGTTTGTCTATTAATATCAATATTGTCATAGCACTTACGATTTATAACCACAGAAGAATCTCATCGACCTCATACCTGGTCTTATTGGAGTACAATGACAAAATCGATCTTAACCTTTCAGAGGGCGCATTGGTTTTAAAAACGGGAGAGGGCGCACCTGGAGGTTACTTCCAGGTCAATAAAAACAAACATTTATGAAGTAAAATTTATATTTTAGTGTACAAGTTATATTTTTAATTTTAAACATCAAAAATGTGTTTAGTGAACTCTTAATTATAAAATAACTTAATTAGATTTTATAAGTATAAAATTAAACCATTATTCTATCAAATGTTCTAACATAAAAGTATTTGAAGAAATCTGTTTACAAGAATATATTCAAGAAGTTAATTTTAATTTCCACCACAATGTCCTATAATGCGGTTCTAGATAATAGCACTCACAATACCTGATGTTTTAAGTAATTTAACATAATGGGTATCTTAAAACAAATGACTGTACATACGTTGTTCGTTAATCTTCCTTTCAGCACTGGCCAAGAGTGTTGCAATTCAAAATTTAACTTCTTCACTCATCGTTTAAAAACTATAATTATATTTACCTACTAAATAATGTCATGAATCGTAAAAAAATAATTATTTACCGTAATTATTTACACGTAATAATCAAGGCACACACTAACCTAGAGGTCGCACACGGAAGTTGCCTGCAGGCTGTGTACAAGAATCGGCAGAGCGCACACAGAAGCTACTTCCAGCCTCTTACAAAACTGAACAAATATAAAATAGTAGGGGTGAGTTTTGACCTTCACTCGATTCTAGGAACGAGGTGCGTGAGGTACAGTGACACTCACCACTGCCGACACCACCCACAATAATATAATCGTGAAAAATAAAACATCCCTGAAGGTTACTTCCGTGATGCGACCTCTGGAAGGTTAAGTACCAACTGGAAATAAATAAATTAGATGTGCATCTTTATGTTATTGGAAGAGATGATTCAAAAAGTAATTTGTGGTGAAAAAATAATAAAAAATGTTCAAACCTCGGTTGGAAATCCTCCCCAGGATAGGTACTTTATTGTTGGTCTCCACTGACTTGGACCTGGTTCAGCCAAACTGAGTGATGACTGAGAAAGTTTTTTCTTAGCAGAGAATTTAAAAGTTTTAAGTTTCATCGAGTCCAAAGTATCTGTTGATCCAAAACTCTCCAAGTTAAAAGACACTTCTCTCTTGACATGTGGATTTTTTATTGTCGAGTAGATCGATTCTTCAGCGAGTGAATCGATTGAAGTTGAAGCTATATTCATATCATCAGTACTACACGCAACTTCTCTTTTACACTCGGTGTTATTTTCTGTAAACTTCTCCAAACGGTCTTCAACAGCAACAAGTGATTTCTGTAGTTCTTCAATCTTCAAAGACAATTCGTTTCCAGCACTTTTCAGCTTTGCTTGTTCGTTTTTCATTTCCAAAACTGACTTTTCGATTCCCTGAATGCTTGAATTTATATTTCCGATTTTCATGCAAACGTACTTGAGGTCTAAACCGTATGTATCCATATATCTAAGAACTTCTTTTCTAAAAGAATGTAAGTAGGTGAAACAATCCTCTTCTTCAATGGGAGACATGCTTCTTTCCAAGGAATTCATGTTTTAAATCTTTAACCTCACTATCAGTTCACAAAAAGTAACCAAATGTAAAAAAACTCACAAAACAGTCCTAAACCGAAAACCGACACACCTGCAGGTATGAAACACTGTGGAAGAAGACAATAATCCCAATGAAATCACTTTACTCCAACTTATCTTATCTTTTCTTACTACAAATAGATGAGCTATCAGACATTCCCTCAACTGGGCCGATTGTGACATCATGTGATAAAAATTATGTCACAACATTCCGAAACCACAATAAAGGAGTAAATCAATCGATTGTTATTGCTCTTATCTCACCTGCTCAAACGATTTCTTCCTATCAGTGAGTGAGGCTATTGAAGACTCGGAATCTGACAGCAATTCGTCATCTTCTGACGTAACACCTCGCTCATCTTCACTCAAAACGTGACTGCGACCACTTGCTGAAAATTGTTGGAAAATTATCAAACTGTATCAGGTGTGGAAATACCATGATCAATAATCTTTGTAAAATACCATTTTAATTTTCTTAAAATAAATATTACACACCAGTTAAATTAATCAGCCTGCTCTTTTAACATCAAAGGATTTTATCTGGTTTGAACTAGAATAGACGACAAATTTGAATTATTGCTGCAGTTAAAGAAGCCTTTGCATAACACTCATACAGGTAAAAGCCATTGTAAAGACTTGTACTTCATAACATTTTAGGATGTACAGTAAAATTAACATTTACTCTGTGGTATGAAGAGTTTGCACACTGAATTTTTTAGTTTAAATGAGTTTAGTAAGAATGAGTTGTATTGACTCTAATCAATTTATAACTTTGTTGAGCTTTGATACAACTTTTGAGTACTATGAGAGTCATATACTTAGAAGATGTATGTATGTACTAAGTAGCTATAGTTAGTAGACTAAGATTTCTACAGGAGAAGTCCCTTATGAATATCTCATAGGCAAGTGAATGTCATAACATGGATGCCCATGGTCACTCGTACCTGAAGGTTTTCGCCTCATGAGAGGGGAGAGTTCGTTGATACCTAGAGGTTGACTTATCGACCGCCTCAGCTGTTGTGGCCTTCCGTACCTCCTGAGAGAAACAGAACAAAATTTATTCACAAGGTGAAACGTATTATAGCAGGGATAGACGCTTTAGCAGTAAAAAAACAAAGTAAAACAATGTTTTTGTTTTTGTAATAGGGTTGTCCAGAAACTGATAGGTAAAAAAAAAAATAATCATAGTGACGTTCAAATTAAATTTACCGTTATAAAAATTAGGTTTAAATTCAACAAAGATTTTCATAAATGGTTCAGTATCAAGGTCAAATATAATCCTTATTAAAAAAACCATTTAAATGTATGACTTTTAATAATGGATATTCATAGTCCGTCATCTGAAATAGTTAAACTCTAAGTCACAAAGTATCAAGAAAAAATTTTAATATTTAAATAAAAAAATGCACAAGTTTGAATCTAGGTTATATTCTTAAAGCCGCATTTACACTATGCCAGTAGACGAGTAGGTTACTTGTCTCTGGTAACTTGAAATACACTAGAGGCTAGTGCCAACTCTACTGGCCTCGTTTAAAAGTATCTCTTTAGGCCGGCACCACACTATCCCGTTTGGCGGATGATTCATGGGTTTTAATGGGTGCGGTCACATTGTTGCGGTTGCGTTGCGTTGACGGGATCCACAGCATGCCGCTGCGGCGTAGCGGGACGACCTGACAACGGGACGAAGGGCAAAACACATGCGGTTGAATGAGAGCAGCCACACCATCCCGTTGTGCTGCGCGTTTGTCCCTACTGTCGCTATCAACAGTGCACAGCATATGATGCTCGCGCTCTTCACTCGAAGTATGTTGCGGTAGAACAGGAAGTTGTGACAGGGTAATGTCAATGTGGTAAAAACGCATCTCGCTAAACGGGAAAGTGTGGCGCCGGTCTAAGACTCACGTAAAACTATGAATGTAGGCATAACATAACCTACAGTAACCCACCTTTTATGAGGAGTCTCCAGCGTGCCTCGCCGGGGACTGAGGGCAGGTTTGACCCTGAGAGGGGATTGGTTGGAGAACATTCTCCTGTAACTGTTACGCATCTCCCAGTTGAACAGTCGCTGGCCACCGAGGTCAGAGTGCGTCCTGCGCACAGCGTTGTGTCCACCTCGCCTCGGTATACCTCGAGCCTGCAGATCAGCCTGCAAAAGTACAAGCGATAAGTGTGATGCAGCTTATCTATATAAAATAGAGGTGAAAATTAATTATACAGGGTGGTCCACGGGAAACGGATGGATTTAAAATGCCTATTACTCTTAAAGTTTTAACCATAGAAAGTTTTATTGACATAGAAATGAAGGACAAGTAATGTAATTTACAAAATAAAAAACCATAAGTTTTGAAAATTACATCAATAAATCGTGACTATTGAAACGGACACACATTTTCAAGCCTTGCTCAAAAACATCCTAATATATTCAGGAACTATTCATCGATTAGTTCAATTTAGCTTCTGATTGTGGCCTTCAATTCTTCGTGACTACGTGATTTTTCTTTGTAAACGCGTGTCTTCAGGTGACTTAACAGGGAAAAGTCACTCATTAACAAGTCCGGTGAACGTGGTGGCCACACATCACCAAACCATGGACATGTCTTGGAAAGAACACTCCACTGGCATTGGCCGTGTAAGCAGTAGCCCCATCTTGTTGAAACCATATGTTCCTTCAATTTTCTACCCTTGCCTTGAAGTTCTGGAATGAAAACATCTCTTGTCATGTTCACGTATCGTTAAGAATAGTTAACAGTGACAGGAGTTTTTTTTCTCCGAAGAAAGATGGCCCATAAATCCCACATTTTCCTACAGCACACTTAACTGTGTTTCAGGTGTTTTTGTTTTCATAACTAACTCATCCTGTAGTTATAAGGAAGTCCACCTTAAAATTTTTGAAATTCACCATTACAACCAATACGAAAATGACGTCTAAAACTTCGTTGACCTTCCATCCTTGACCCACCACGTTGAGTTTCACAGTTGACTCGCCATTTTTTATTTTTACACAAGCATCTTATGCCAACATGCAATGAGCTTTCATCCACAGCGGCATGATGGTGACTGGAATTTTATGGGGAGCTGTATGAACTTAAACCCGAGTTTCTCTCTTTTCATCAGTTGCCGAGGAATGCGCGAATCAAAATTGTCCGTTTCCCGTGGACCACCCTGTATATACATAAAGGTAATCAGGATCATGAACTATTGAGAAACATGTAAGCCGCACACCTATCAACTGGGAACTGTATACTTGAATGATAGGTCTAGACGAATTTGCCCGGGAAATCACTTTTTTTATATTAAACCTAAGCACACACCTCAATTAAAGGGTTTTGAAATCAAATTTAAAACACAGATGTGTCATCTGTTAAGTTTGTTATTGGTTGTTTAAGCGAATTTCCCATATAGGGAATAAGCTATTTTATAATTCATTGTTAATGTTACGATAAAGTAATTAATTTTGATTCTGTCACACACAGCTTATTGCAAATACAAAACAGATCCATTTATTAAAGTAAGCAATAAGTACAATTAAGCATCACCTCTATAATCCGCGGAAAGTGTGTAACTGGTTTTTACAGTAGATTCAAAGAACCATATTATTCTCTTTTGTATTCTCAACCTGTTGTGAAGCACTGACAGAGCAACTAGTTTCCTATAAAGTTAATATTGAAGGAGATGTTTTGAGACTTTTTTTTATTGATTTAGTGAAGCAATAGTAGGCCTAGTATGGTTAGATTTCTTTATTGAACTTTAGCTGAAGAAAAGATAGGGTAAAACGTGGCAGTCTGTTACCCATAAGCTATTCTTTCAAGCAATACCAGCATCAAAAATGCACTAGCCATCATGTAACAGCTCAGAAATTAGGTACAAGGACAGAAGTCCCTTTTTTACATTAATAAAAAATATATATATATTTTTTAACTAGTAAATAGAACTGCCTTTTGTTCTGTATCACTAAGGTTACATGGACACAGAGTTCTAATTTTTTGGTCAACAAGTTTGCAGCCGTTAATATTATAAGAACAATAATTAAGGAAGCTAGACAAAGAGTGCTACTTGAGAGAAGATTACCTTTAATTTGTCTATGAGTATCTGATTGATGACGTCAGAAGTAGGTCGGGAGGGTTTACTATCTGAGCTGGAAGTTGTTCCTCTTCTTCTCACCTGAGAAACAAAAAAACAAAAATGTCAACTTGTAACTCATAACTTCTCATTTAATCGATTGTAATATGTGGTAACAACTTTATAGTTAAACATACTGTAATACCCTAGTAGACTTTATCATGTTCATTTGAAGACAGCATGAAGCATATTCATGTCCAGATGTGTGATGGCATTGAGTTATCATCCTTATACATAGGTAATCAAATGGAATAAATTTGTAATTTGGTGCTTGTCTTCTGCTTTTATAACCATAGAATGAAGAGCACATGCACTAACAATTAGGCGTTGCCCTCAAATAGAGCTCCTCATAACATCCTTACAAGTACACTGCCCATGTACCAAACAGAACAGCGAGAGCAAAGAGTGTAAATTACTTAAGTCAATCTAACCACAGAGAAGTAAGGTACAGAGAAAACACACTTATGGAACAACTACCATAAGTGCTCTCAGCTCTGGTATGTTGGGCTGGAAGTATACTTGTGACAAGCAAGGAGGAGTCCGAACAGTGAGCGCTGTGCTGTAATTCCTATCCTACAGGGCACAGGGTCTTCCTCCATAGTGAGTGTTGTAGTATATGATGGCAAGTGGGGTAGTGGGGTGTTGGACTTTGTCCTAGACACCACTTAAGTGTACCACTGAGTGTTTCCTCTGTTCTTTACTTCTCTGAGATCTAATGGTTGTTAGATCTAATCATTTACCACAGGAGGACTATCCATCTCATCCAGTGGTTCTTCGTCTGCGAGATGGTCTGTGTCATGAGACTCTGAACTGTCCCCTCCTGCTCTCCCCACCATCTGCAACAGAAACAGTTTACATATTACTACGTTCATCTTTCCATGATCAGGCTCAATTTATACACATATACTCAAACAAAACCACAGGAAATTATATTAGATTTATCTTTGTTGTTGTCTGGGTTCTTGTAGGTAAGTTGTTGGTAAGATGTTCTTGTAGGTAAGTGACCCCTCTGGGGCCACACAAGCTGGCGAAATGCACAGGGTGGAATAAATAATTTTACCAACAAGAACTCAAGCAAGAAAAAAGGTAAATCAAACATAATTCAGGTTCTTAAAACTGGGAAAGCAAAATAAAACAACATAACGTAACATAAAAACTTAAACATGTCTAGGAAATTAACGTGAGAAAGGTCACGTATTACATATGTGACTGTGGCGCTGTATTCAGATGATTGGTGTACAATTAATTACTATTTAAAAGTAGCCTGTTACCGGGTCGATTACATAAATTCATCAATAAAAAAACAGCTAATTATAAATGTAATAGATAGCTCGGCTAGGCTTTCTAAGTGAAAGTGATGTTATGAAGCAAAGTGTATCTTCAGTAGTCAAACATGAATGGAAAAATGTTTTGGATGTATATGAGTTGGAGATGGTTGTGAAAGATTGCAAATGTTTACAATGAAATGGACCAATTTAGCCACAATTGTGCATTAGTTTCATTTAAGGCAGTGACCAAAATTAGACCATCATTTAGGCAGGGACTAATTTCATAGATCAATACACAGTATAAATTTTGTATCCAGACCAATCACAGAAAAAAAACAACAGTAAGCCTGTGGTAGTCTTAAAAACACCATTTGCAAGAAGTTTCCGCAATTTTAATCACTTTCTCGATGGGAACTCATGAACACCCGCTGCCAGCCTCGTTGTGTAAACTTGTACGGCTTTCTTCAAACTACCTATGCCATCTTCATCTATGTACTTTTTATGTCCAAACACGTACAATTACTCCACTAGCAACAGATTTCAATAGCGGGTTAAACCTTCTATCAGAAGCATAATCGCAAAAGTATTCTTCTTTACTATTCTTTCTCACTGAAGGGTGTATTAGAAGAAGCTCCTTTACCATGTTCAAATAGAAGCTACTTCTTCAACGTCGCTATGAAGCTATGTCACCCCAGTTTATATCTACAGTCTCCCTCTTATTCAGACTCCTCAGGACCGAGGCCAGTCCGTATAACGGTTTTTTCAGTTAAAACTGACGTCTGTAAATAACATTAAAACAGACTGTTTTAATGCATACTGTATACAGTATTTGACTTAAACTAAGAAGAGCATTGCATTTAGACACGTGATCACTGGTCTCAGATCTTTCTCACGAACAGTCGTTTCGGTACTGCCACTTCCTGCCAATCTAGTCCAGTTAAACCGAAATACTGATAAAAATTGCCCGGTAAAGATATGTCATTTCTGCAGAGTGTAGTCCGGTTAAAAAACTCCTATCATCTGATACAAAAATAAGAATATATAAAACCATTATTCAACCAGTATTATTGTATGGAAGTGAGACCTGGGTCCTATCCAAGAGAAATGAAGGACGCTTGATTGTTTTTGAAAACAAGGTCCTAAGAAAAATATTCGGCCCAGTAAACGAAGAAGGAGAATGGCGGATTAGAAAAAACAGAGAGCTGCGAGCGTTATACCAGGACCCTGATATAATAGCTTTGATAAAGGCAAAAAGATTAGGTTGGCTAGGTCGTATTGCGAAGGGAAGAAGGAACAAGACTGAAGGAAGTATGTTCTGCTGTACCAACTGGAAAGCGTCCACTGGGTAGACCAAAAATGAGATGGTATGACCAAGTTAAGAGAGATGTGAGTCAGTGTGGAGGGACAGTGGAGATGGCAGCGGACAGAGAAGCGTGGAAGAGGCTGATCTACGAGGCGAAGAATCGACTGTGATTTGTAGCGCCCCAGCAGTAAAGTAAGTAAGTAGTCCGGTTAAAAGGTGTCTTGATAAGAGGGAGTATACTCTATATCTCTCTTCATTCACAATTAGAAGGTTGGTGTGTGTTTTATTTTCTATTCCAAATTTAATATAGTATATCCAGTAACACTCTCAAATACATCCAACTCAACTAAAATTGTAAAACAAACCTCAATTTGGATCCCGCTGTCACCGCTGTTACACTTGGCATTTCTAGCAGACTTTTTCGTTTTCTTCCGTTCTTTGCTGGATCTCCATACTAATGGTCCAAACCTGAAAAATACAATCAATCAGTCAATCAATTTATTGCGATAGGGACGATTTGGGGGGTGGGATTCCTAGGAGCGTATTTTAACCAAAATTTGAGTGAAGGGTGAGTGTAGAATGGTGTGTGATGATCTGTGCTTTGTTACTGACCGAGATCAGCTGTTTCATCAGTCAGGATCATTTAGTTAAAGCAATCAGGTCAGTACATACAAACTATAACATACATACATACTATTGACATCTGGGAACAATAAACAAAGCTTTCTTGCTATCTAGGGTTTGACTGAGTAAAGTTTTGTATTGAATGAGCTGATAAGGATAACTCTCTGTTGTGAGACGGAGTTTCCTCTCCAATGCAATTCTGTTGTTAGAGTTACAGTCTGACGTTACAAGTTGACAAGTTAGCAGTAATTGTACCAAGAAATCCTCACCATCCAGATTCTGTTGTTGTTCTGGCCAATCTTATGTACTCGGTAAATTTGGTATTTTAAATAGTATATTTAAACTATTACTATTTACTTTCATATTACTTGCTTCAGATTACTCACGTATTGAAGTTAAAAGTGACCTATACATTAAACACGGATAAACAGAGACATACACTGATTTTGAAAAATTTTAGATAGATTTTTTTCTTACAAAACTAAAATATTTAAACACTAACTTCTTCATCCCATTACTTTAAATGTACCGGTAGCGGTTTTAAATTTTGAAAACCATTTTGAAAATAAAAGCTATCATAATTCATAAATGATTGTAATGGTTTAAATATAATGTGCAGTTAAATTATAACTACTAAAACACATTCTTTTGGTTAAGACGGTAACTTGAAAGCTCTTAGAGAAAGATGTCCTGTGTAGAGTATATTAGGTCAAAATACAGTGAATTTGAAAAAAAGGTGGTAAAATCTACAACAAACTATGTGAAAAATATTAAAAACCCCTTCAATGAAGAAGAGAGCCACTTTACTAGATTCATCACAACAAAAGGCCTGTTGAAATAACATAAACAATCAACCAATGTTGTTAGGTTAGGTTGTTATTTGAAATGTTCAACAAGATCAGCTTTACTATACAAAATAGTTAGAAAAGTTAGAACATTTCACTGTCACTGGCAGCATTTTTGACCAAGGAAGGTTAGAGTTAGGAAGAGAGATGTCTTCAGATCTAATCTCATTCCTATCCATCTTGATTTTAACTGAAAATAACTCTTTCGACTCAAACATTCAAAATACTGTCAGTGACAGTTATAAAATGTTCTAACTTTTGTTTTTGGTGTAAAATGTTGCTTGTTCTGGACTGGAATGATTCACATTAAGCATAGCCTGATATAAAACAAAAATTAACTAATATACCATACCTGTATTGTCAAAACGACCACTTGATGGTAGTATGAAGACTACAGCTGTTTCGTGCTTTTTTTTTTTAAAGTAGCACATCTTCAGGTCGAGAAGGATGCTAATCCCTCATTTAGAGTTGGTAAAAAAATATGAATAAATAAATAAACGGGAAATACAACACACATTTTTGTGTGTGTTGTATCTGTATGTATTTCCAGTTTACTTATATTTATATTTTATAACAAACATCACTTAAAGCATTAGAGGGACATTCTCGACCTGAAGATGTACTACTTTTTTAAAGCACGGAACAGCTGTAGTTGTCATACGACCCCCAAGTGATCGTTTTGACAGCAAACATAACATATATTAGTTAATTCAGACAACCCAGAGGCCATTCCATCAGGAAAAAACAAAATTCTTTAGAACTATCCCCTTGCGCTCTTTTTACTTTCTTATTCTACAATAATTGTCTTGGTAGCCAAGTGGTTATAGTGCTCACCTTCAAATCTGGAGGTCGCTGGTTTGATTTCAAGCGTGATCACATATGGACCCAGACCCAGATTGTTTGTCATTGAAATTGATCAATTAATGATATGAAAAAAGTGGACGATGGAAGTAACGAGACTACGTTTTGGACATATCCTTAAGGAACTAGCGATACACACGAATAAATTATGATAGTTACCTAAATCTCTCAGAGCTATCGTCTTTGGTAAGGGGAGGTGTTAGCCTGGTCTCCGGGGGTGGTGACTCTGGCGGAGGTAGAGGCGGGGGCTCCTTATCTTCATCTTCATCATCCCTACTGTTGCCCCCGCCTTTCTTGTAGAACCGCAGTGAGAAACTCTTGCGAAACTTCTGCAGAACACTCTCGCTGGAGTGACCTGAGGTACAGACCAATAATTTAAATTGTTTGAAAACTAGGCAATACATTGATTGATAAATGTATACTTAGAAGGAAAAGATAATGCAGAAACAAATTATAAATGGTAAATTTCATTTCCTAAGTGTAACCTGCAAACCCTTAAACTAGGCAAAGGCAAGGAAAAGCTGTTATTGGTACCAATCAACCTACTATTCATCCCTCTATTTTAGTTAACCGAAGAGACCGGGCTATAGAATTTGGATTTTATCATTTGCAATACAGTAGAACCTCACTAACTCGACACCTGGTAACTCGACAGTCAACGGCTGACAGGGTGCAGCAAAAATTTTCCAGAACATTTAGTTTTGATTTTAATTTGACATTTGATATTAGACATTTCTTTGAAGATTGTTTACTCAATATGTAAACATTGTGAACTAACTTATTAAAACCCTTAACAATTTCAAAGTTCTGGATAACTCGACAACCCTCAAACTCAATAACCTCCAGGTCCACAGATAGTCAAGTTCTACTGTATACAAGTTAGGTAAAAACAAATTTGATGATGGATTCTTCAAGTTTTACGATACAACCAAATGCTACCTATCAAGTTCCGTTTAACTTATATGTTGTCAAACATCATAATTAAATCCAACACCATGACCGTAAAATATAATTCCAAAATATTAAATAGCTTACTCTTTAAAGTAGGCTTTAAAGAATTTCAACGAACAAAAACTACTTCAACTACTAAACCAACAATTCTGATACACAACTAATACAAGTAAACGTCTGCGATGTTCTTCTGCGAACGAAATGTCCTTTTGATCAACTAAATTCGTTCTCTTGTTCAAAATTTTTATTCGGAAATGAAATATCATTGTTGTAGATTTGAAGTCATTATGAATTGAACAAATGTCATCCTAGCAAGTTTTGTCAAACTAACATTATCAAACCTAACAGTTGGATCGATAACCATAAAATGTGTGTGGAAACAAATGAATCAACTGAATACAAACTTTTTATTTTTTAAGTTGAATTTTCCTAAACTAATACTACAACAATACCTGCAATATTCTTCTGTGACTGTGAAATGTCCTTCTGATGGTGAATATCGTTGTGAGACGAGTTGTTCTTCTCGTTCCAGGCCCTACACAAGACAGGTAAAATGATAAAACTCAACTATCCAGAGAAAAAACACCATGGTCAAATCAAAGATTCATATGTTACTTCTACTCTCTGGTCATAAACACGTATTATCAACCAGACCCAATCTTGTCATTATAGTACTCAAAGGCGTAACTAGGATGACCCCTTTATTTTACATATCTATCCTGCAGTGTTAAATATTAACTTATCCATCATTAACTAATCTTAAACTGTCCCTAAACAAATACTTCTCAAAGGATGTGGACCTTTATTAGACGACCAAGGAATTTAGGCCGGAATCACAGACTATAGAATATGTATCGTAAACCGATGTAACTCTATGGTCTGTGCCGGAATACAACACTCTAAAAGTTCGAGTATTTTCGATATCTACCAATAAGTACTTTTTTTTTGTCCTAGGACGCTAGGCACGAGCCTGCGATTGTTTTTCACATTACTTCAGGCTAGACCTTAGGGGTTGCGGCATTATCACTTAGATCAAATCCATTGGTGACTTGGCGGGGATGGAACCCGGCGCTCTAACCACTACACCAGCTCGCTCCCCAATCTACAAAGTACTAACGTAAGTATAAAGTGTAAAGTGTAAAGTGTAAAGTGTAAGTATAAGGCATTAAAGAAAACCAATAACTAACAAGTACTTGTTAGGAACATGATTATGAGAGAAGTAAAAAACCACACAAACAAGCCTTTTATAGGTTCTAGCTTGAACCAATATTCATAAGTTTAACCCTCTATGTCTTTCTAAAAGGTGTTCAACTGAGTCATGTTCTTTTCCTTTTTGAACTGTGATGGACTGGATTTTTGATAGCCTTGTTGATTGGACTTGGTAATATTTCTTTGATTCATGGCATATTATAATTGAGTTTATTCATCTTGTTCGAGGTTAAATGGTAGAAATGTAGTACTTCAGTCGGTAATTTAGAAAAAAGGCCATAGTCACCAAATAAAAAATAATTGGAAATGAAAAAAATTTCAAAGAATTGTATTTTGATTGTTTTAAGCTTTGTTCTGGTTTAGTGTGCATTTCCAACTGACCTTTCCCATTGGTTGTCCGAGGGGTCCAGCAGGGGTGTGCTAGAGAACCTGGACGTCTTGGACAGACCAACATTGGACACCCTCTTGTCTTGCAGTCCGATGTCTCGTACAGGCTATCACAACACATCACAATCAGTCACAACACACCACAAATATTTTGGGACATAGGCAACAACATGAACACTTTAAACGCATGTAATACAATTTCAATCCTATTTTTGGTATATTTTTCAACACCACATATTTTTTAACTTGAACTTTTTACTATTTAATATCGATATGTTTAAGTATTATTAAAGTCATAAATATGGTTATTTGTATTGAGAGTAAGATAAACATTGATCACTCTAAAATAATCAAATCAATTTTACATATTTTTTTATTGGTAAAGTAATTTATTTGTTCGGTTTAAAAATTTTAAATAAACCAAAATGGGTTGTTTGAAATATGTGATGAAAAATAGTTAATTGTGTTACCATAAAAATATATAAATAAATTATCCTTAGAAATAATTATTTTAAAAAACCACAACATGTAAACATCAAATAAAATTGACCATATCGTAATGATGTTTAAACATCAGTAGTTATAAACAATATAAACAATGTTTTATTTTGATTGCAAAAATTAGGTCTACTTAGGCGCTTTCCATTACTACTTAAAACAATTTTAATAGCCTATTCTTATCAAACTTTTTATCAAACAATTATACAAATGTATATCTTACATTTTAATTTTTATTCCGTGGCAACACAAAATTAAAATAATCTTACTAATATTGAGCACTAAAAAAACCATTAAATTTGAAAATTTCACACACACACACATGTTATAGAACTGGAAAATATTTGATAGTTCTAAAAAAAAATCAAGCAAAGTTATTAAAGAGCAGACATCTGAATAAAGTACCTAATCAAAGATATGTAGATGACTCTTTGTACTGTGATAATAGGTATTGTTGTCACCACTTACCTGGAACTTGATATTCCATTTACAGTTAACAACTGTCCTTTAATTAATTATCAAAGAATTCAATAGTTGTTTGTAAAATTAAAAAAAAAAAAAAAAACTGCTCCTGTTTTAGTTAATTTCTTTCAGTTAATTAGTTGAAAGTCTAAATTTAAACTGATCATTAAGCATTATTGCACACAGGTGATTAATTAGTTGAGGAATTCAATAGTACGATTTATATACAGCACATACCTCATTGATTAACTTGTGCATGATTAAATGCACAGACTGACCAAAGCATAGTTGTAGCTAATGTGTGGGCCATTGATTGCAGTTTGGTAATGTTTCTTTGCGTTTTGAAACAAACAAAACTCGCCGCAAAATTGCTATCGGTGGACGAATAAGACTGAAAGGTTTTGAAATGTTAAACATTCAGAAATATTTGAAAAGTATTTTTAAGCTGTAAAGAACAATCGGGGCACAATTAGTTGTTATTTTGAGTGAGGGCCTTTTAATATAAACATTTATTAGTTTTACATGATGTATTATAATTTTTGATTTAAGATATAATATAATTAGTAAACAATGCTCAGACGTTCAAATTTGAATATTTTACAGTTTTATCATTACCTCGTCTAATATACGAGTACGGTGAGACGTGGCAACACCGCAGCCCCGAACTACTGAGAAAGCTGTTACACTAATTCATAACGGAGCGTCCGCGCAATGTTATACATGTGTTGTTATTACCAATACGATAGGCCGGTGCGACGTTGCCAAACCGACGCTGCGGCTTTGTGTTAGAAAAGGCTATGGTTTTATTGTAATAATATCCATAACATAAAGTTGTTTTATACAATTTAAAATTAAATTATACAAAAACTATTTAACAGATAACATGAATCACCAATTAAAACCAATTTACTTACTCCTCCTTTGTATATTAAAAGAACAGAAGGGAAATAGAATAAACTTGTTTGACAGTTATGTGCAAAAAGCGTGCTGAAAAGCGAAAGCAGCATGCATGTGTGATACATCAATATACACTGAAAGTGCTCCATGTTATAAACAGTGAAATAGAGAATGAATATAAACAGGACATTTTTATATAGGTACATTCTTTATCATAGCATTTTTCACCAACTAAACTAATGCAGTATAAATAATGGGTTATAATTTATCACACAGTTTATTATATATATATCATTATGTTGTAATATAAAACTATATAAAGTGTTGGCGACAGGCATTATTCAGTAAATATTTGTCTTTACTTTTTGGTTTTGTTTATTCATTTAATTTATGCTAAGATCTCCAGCCTTAAAGGTGTTTTTATAGTTTTAATAATTTTCAAATTCAAAATTCAAAACAACGGTAACACTAAATGTTGATTGATATTGAAAATTTAAGAAATAATCGAATAAATAAATAATAGTTACTTTTAAGATGAAATTGTCAACTTAAAAAGTGTATATTCAGTTGTTTTACTGTAATCAATTCATAGTTTACCAGTATCAGTGGATGTTGAAGTTAAAAATAAAATCTCAAGTTGAAAATAATATTTTTAGGAATATTGTACACATTTAATGTCATGTAATACTATATTGCCTGAACCTGGAGGATCTAATAAATAAACTACCAACATGAAAACATGCTTAAAAAATATTTATGTAACTTTTGAATTTATTTTATACTTAACTAAAGTAGCCCTATATGATCACTTCAACCACAAAACATACTTACCAAAAACTCCGAATAGGATTTGCAAAATAAAAAGTCTCCATTCAACATAAATTAGAAATCTTTATTTCTTGAACACATATGAAACAATTGATTTATTCAACGATGATAAATATTAAATATATTAACATCATAACGATTAACAAGTTTTCATCGGGGATTAAGTGTTGAATTTCCACAAGTATTAAAAATATAGAACTAAAGATTTTTACATAGGTTTTACAGACACATTTTATAGGACACGAGTTTTCAAAAATATATTTACGTAAGTGTGAGCAAACTTAGAGTGTAATGTAAAAACAACATTGTAATTGTCCAGAAAATTCAAGTTTTTTTTATTTAAGTAATTTTAAATTCTTGTAATAACATTGAAACAGTTAACATGCTCTTTCTACAAGTAAAACCATTAAAATACTGTATTGATAAGTATTTTTGCATCAGTTTAATTTTGCGTTTTATAACTAATTTTTTATGAAACGAATCAATTTGAACTTTTACTATAAAACATATTTTACATAGATACAAGTAGAGTATAATTTATTGTATTCAATCCCTTTAACCTTCATTAACATTATTTTATATTTAATGGCATAAAAATAGCTTATATTATAGATTGAATGCAATAGTATTGTCAAAAGATGGATTTAGAGCTAACACTTACTTTGAATTTATCACAATATGTGAATAAATTTTGAGAATGTTTATACAATGTCGAATGGGATGGTTTCACACAAGTTTTGAAATTAAAACTGGGATAGAACATTCTTTTATTGTTACCTGTAGTGCAAAAATTATTGATCAGTGATATAATATTGTATCTCATAAATAGTGATGCAAATCATGCTGGGTAAAATTTTTCAACAACAATTTGTAGATTTATTTATTGCTAAAGAATAAAAGAGAAAAAAAGAGGAAAAAATCTCCTTAAAGAGTGGTTTGTATTAGGCCTATTACGAGTCGTCAAATAAGCAGGGCGTATTTATTTATTGAGCAATAACCAAGCAACAAAAGAGCAGTTGAACAACATTTGTTTCACATACACATTACTGTTCATGATGTCATCTTTTGTCCGTTGACAGAATAAGTGTTGTCCTGGCCTACATTCACGTAACAATAAATGTAACTTGTATACATTTTGTATCAATTGAGATTTAAATTGTGTTATCACTATTTGATTTCACATAGCGTTTACAACCGACTGGTTTAAATTGCTACATCCTTGCTTATGGCTTTACAGATTTACCTAATAAAAAATAAACTACATTCTTAGATTGGGGACCATTTAAAATTAATTCAAACTTGTTAAAATATCAAACAACAATATGCTAAAAACATCCCCTGTTATATGCACTAAATGAATTATCTGAGTCCTGAATTTGGTTGTAAATTTATATATTGGTTAATAATGTGTAAAAAAAAATATTTTTTGCAAAATATCAGATGATTTTTCAGTAAATATGGTATAGTTGTTTTATGGATTTACAAATCATAATAATTGAGATTGAAATGTTATATAGTGAATCATTAGTTTAGCACGAGTGGAAGTATTTGATCATTTTCATTGGTCTAGTCAGGCCTGACTAAATATAATATACATTGTACTGTACACTAAACTTGTCACATTTTAAAATAAGAACGACTTGTCAATTATTATGGAACAATAAAATGTTAACAATCACATTTTCTTTTATTTTTCTCATAAATACAGGTGAAATCATTATGGTAGAATATTCTGTTTTCTTAATTGGAATTAATTTTAAGTACTTTAAAAAGGTATTTATGAACTTCGTTCAAGTATGATTTTTTCTGAACAAAAAATAAACACATGGAAGTTAATATAATAATACTGATATAAACAGATTTATACTTTGGAAAAATGCAACAACTTTACTTTAGCCGTACATTTAATCCATCAGATTCTGAATACTCACAAATCTTTTTACACCAGATGTATGGAAAATGAAAATATGTGAAAATGTAAATACATTGTGGACATTTTGATTCTAGGGCAAGCTTTTAAGCCTGCAGATGTTAAGAGCTATTATGGTAGGGCGGCCCGCTATAGCCTACATGCTGCTTTAACAGTTTTGTATATTAACTTTTCTATCTTTGCATATAATAAATGTTTCAGAAAGTCTGTCCATAAATATAGCACAATGCAGTTAAATTAGGCTCATGTATTCTTCATCGTGTTAGAGATGTGTTTTAAATTAAAAAAATTTTAGTAAAAATGCACATTTTGATATTAGAATAAATTTTAAGCTAAAATTATAATTCTTAAAATTCATATAAGAACCTAGGTTTTTCATTTGCATAAATTATTATGCTAGATTTGATTAATGAAAAAGTGTCAAAGCAAGAATTCAATCTTTGCATCAATGTTTTATACAATATTGTGCGTTTGTTATATGGAATGTTGAAA